TCCTCTTTCGACATCCGTGAGTTTCTTATTGAAATTACCATTTTTTTCCAACTTTTTCACATTTCTCACTCATTATGATCCCTACTAGTGTTTAGTGGTAGCCTTGCGATCCAAGTTGCCGAGTCGCTTTTGGATTTTCCAATTCCACCTCTGTTTTCCGCCGTACCTTGCTCGATTTCGCAATCGGCTCTGCTGCCTGGCATCTCCTCATATTCGTTCCATCTCTCAACAATGCCTCCCAAGACTACAAGACCAATACTACCACGCAAAAATGGAAGTTCTGAGCAAGTGGCTCCTCTGAGTCAACGCCTTAGTGACCCTATCACATCGCAGCTTGCTAGCTCACTCTCTCAGAGCAGCTCTAAAAGTGATCCTGGTGCAACGCCGGTTCTTCAGCTTTTCAAAAAGCTGTTGGACCTCAACATTCCAGAGGTCACCGAGATCACCAACGAGATCTTGCTTCATTTGGGTGAGCTAGGAGATGGAGCGATAGAGAGAGATGCCCGCCAGAGGAGCATAGTTATTGCGGGCTTACCCGAACTTGACGGTGGGAACAGCCAGGCATCTTCCTCAGCATCTGAACGCCAAAATGACACGGAACAAAAGGTCCGTGGAATTTTGGATGCTTTAGATATAGAGTGCAAACCTGTAAAGATCTTTCGAATGGGTAAGCGGGCGACTGATAGGCCACGCCTTGTGAAGGTTGAATTACCTACGAGAGGCCATTGGAGCTCGGCCCTTTCTCGAGCCCGATTACTCCGCGATTCCCCAAATTTCAAAGGGATTTATATTAGACGGAGTATGACGGCCCAGGAAAGGGATCACGATCGCAATTTGCGAGAGCAGGCGGAAAAATTGAACCAGTCCAGGAGTTACGAAGACAGATATGTGGTTTATAAAGCTGAGCTAGTTTTGGCTAGCTCCCTCTCACACACCACTACATCCTCCTCTCAAAATCCATCAAAAACTCGTCGTCAACCAGCTTCGGCATTCCAGGGAAACTGAGTCTCGGGCAAGGCGATACTCTTAATTGTGTTTTGTTCAACTCGAGATCATTGCAGAATAAATTATCCCATTTACATCATTTCCTTACTACTAAACGTCCTGATATTCTTTTCATTACCGAAACATGGTTATCATCTAAAGTGACCGATGCCGAAATTGTGTCTGATTTGTCATATATTATCTTTCGTTGTGATAGACTGCGTAAAAGAGGCGGCGGAGTTTGCATCCTAGTTAACTCAAAACTTCTGTGCGAAAAATTTGAAATAAACCCTCACCGCAACTATGAAGTAATAGCAATTGACCTCTACCAGTCCCGAACACTTGCCAAATTACGCATGATATGTGTCTATCGACCTCCGAGCACTGACCATGAATCTGATGATGTACTACTGGATCTCCTTTCCGCCTACGCTCTCGCTACAAATGAGGTTCTGATAGTTGGTGATTTCAACCTTCCCATAAGATACCCGATCAACTTGCAACACCAAAATTATCCCCTAGCCCACAAATTTCTAGAATTCTTCCATAATCTAAACCTACACCAATTCGTGGGTAAGCCAACACGTGAAGATGCCATTCTTGATCTAGTCTTAGCACATGCTGATTCTATCGACAAAGTATTGGTGAAAGCACCTTTTGGAACAGCTGACCATAACATAGTAGAATTCCGTTACAAATTTAGTATCCCAAAATGCACCCTTATCCCAACTCCTCGTTTCTCTAGAACTGATTTTGATGCAATCAAAGCAGAACTACAACTCATAGATTGGGAAAACTGCTTCGATCAATATGAAGACCCTTCTGATGTGTACTATAGATTCTGTTGCATTATGTACAGACTAATGGCAGCTCACACTCCCTTCGAGTTCCGTAAGGTCGGATATCTCAAGTACCCTGGCCATATACAGTCGCTCATTTTCCAAAAAAAAAGGCTTTTCAGAGAACTTCGATATAATAGTCCGCTTTACAAAAAGGTTTGCTCAGACGTAACATATCATATCAATAAATTTCTTGCAAACTATGAGAAACGCCTGGCTTCCTCTAAACATTCCAGAAATCTCTTTTCGTATATCCATCAAAAAATATCTATCAAAAACCATGGTGCCTTAACGAGTATGTCAGGTATAACATGCCTTACTGACCGAGATAAAGCAAAGGCTCTGGCCGAATTTTTTGCAAACACTTTCTCTACAAACACTTCTGATTCTAGATCTCTTGAAGCGCCTCTGAGCCATGCATGTACACCTCCTATCATCGTGCCTTATAGGGTTGAATGCTTTTTTATGACCTTGAAACAGTCAACATTTGAACCTTTTGACGGACTCCCTCAAATTCTGTTCAAAAAATGTGCGAAAGAACTCTCAGTTCCTCTTTCTCATATGTTCAATATTTGTTTCATCTGCGGGCAAGTACCTAACATTTGGAAGGAAGCCATCGTTACTCCTGTTCCAAAGGTACCCAAACCGCGGTCCGTAACTGAATTTAGACCCATAAGTATCAATTCGGTGGCATGCAAAGTTCTTGAAAAAATTTTGCGTGATAAACTCCTTGAATGGTTTGAAAAATTCAAGCTCATACCCACTGAACAGCACGGGTTAGCGGTGCATCCACAGTAACACAACTAGTGGATTGTACCCACGACTGGATCAGAGCTGTTCTCGACAATAAGAAAATTGATGTTATCTATTTCGACTTGTCCAAAGCATTTGACCGTATAAGTCATGAGAAATTGCTGTATAAGCTAGATCATTATGGCATTAGAGGAAACCTACTTGAATGGTTCAGATCTTATTTCAATGACAGATATATGACCGTTCGCATTGGCAAAGAACACTCTGAACGTTTTCCATGCGTTAGTGGGCTTCCTCAGGGTGAAGCTCTGTCACCTCTTTTATTCAATATCTACACTGCCGACCTACCCGTGATATTGAAAACCCACCCAGATATCCATGTACTAATGTACGCTGATGATATCAAAATCTATGCCATCTATAACGATGATAATCGCCGAGATGTTCAAATTGCACCTCAGCGCGACATCAATCTTATGGTTGATTGGTGCAAAGGCTGGGATATTTTTGTGAACGTGAGTAAAAGTTCTGTTTTTCACATCGGCAATGGCAGGGATAATGAATTCCATTATGAACATGCTGGAGAAACCCTGACCAAGGAAACATCAGTCAAAGATTTGGGAGTACTTTTTGATCAATCTTTGAAACCTGACTCACAAATCTCTAGCGTAGCCTCTCGTGCAATCTCTGTAGTTTACCTCATTTATCGCAACACCACAGTTGATGACCCCAGAGTACTGTTGAAACTCTACAAAACTTTTGTTGTACCTATAGTGGAGTATGCAAACCAAGTATGGAGTCCCTCCTTGGTGAAGCACAAACAAACCTTGGAGAACTTCAGAAGGTCTTCACGCGCCTCTTATTCTATCGCTGTTTTCCCAACCCAACTTATCCTCTATCAATGCCTAACTATGAGGAACGATTACGAAGTTTTGCCCTCAAAAGTCTCTCTTACCGTAGGCTTGTTCATGACCTAGTATTAGCTTTCAGGATTTTTAAGGGTGAGACCAAACTGCGGCCTTCCAAGTACTGGGTTTTCAAACCTACCTATGGAAGAACGGGTTGTTTCTCTACTTATCACCAACAAATTGGTAGGCGTAAGAAATCAAGTTTATTGAATTACGACTTCTTCTATCGTGTGACGAAACTGATGCAATTCTTGCCGAAAGAACTTTTAGCATGTAATAACAGCAAATCTTTTGAACGCAAATTAAAACAGCTGAATCTGAATGAAATCTTTACAGATAGCGCTAATCCAGCATTCACATGGTCCTGACTTTAGCCACGTGCAACGATCTATCGTCTGAGCCCTATCTATGCACTGAATAAAGAAGATCGAAAGTCGTGCTTTAATACACTAGTGGTCTTGAAAGATTTTTATTTTTAGCAGCTCTCATCTTACCATTATGTTAGTTTGAGTCCACTATATCTCTTTTAGCTAAGGTACAGCTCGCTAGCCCAAACTTGGAACCATGTACCCTTTTCCATTGATAATCATTCGCTATTTCGATCTTTACTTCTCCCACCGTTGATCGCAGTCCGGTTCGCCCTTTCGTTACTTCGGGATTAGCTTGTCAGGCCTGTCTATCTCGTTCCGCTATATTACCCTGGAGTACTGTTCTCTCCCCAGAATAAGTCGGGCATATTTATATATTTCATATATCATATCAACACACGCGGTCCCCGCAAATACATTGCTTTAGTTGAGTAATCTAAGAGCACTTTTGCTACAAGCAGGGGGCATGAGACAGACTCCACCGAGCTTCCTACTGATATATTCGTACATGTCCAAAAGCTAGCCCTCCTTCATTCTCTACACATCTGGGGACCGGACTTGATCTGTTGGTGGTTTTTTTTCTGGTTGTTTGTTTATCCGTGTTCAGCTCTGAGTATATTCGTTTTCTTTTCTGGTCCAAAATGTGGCACGCCTTGTGCGTATTAAATAAATAAATAAAAATCGATGAAATCGGTATCGATCGATGACGAAAAGTAGCCTATGACACCCATCGGGGCTCGAAGTGTATGTGTGCCAAGTTTGGTCCGAATCGGTTCAGTAATAAAAATTTCTACTCGGAACATACGTACATACATACAGACAGGCAGACATACATACAGACATACAAACAGACATTCAGCTTTATATATAAGATCAAACGACTACTAGTCTGCTGATACGGCGCTCATTAGCCAAGCCTACTGTTTCTCTACTCGTTTTGAGTCAACAGAAGGCTACTGCATGACGAAGGTGAAGAAGCAATTTTAGTTGAGCGGGCGCAAGCGCGACGCTGCGTATCTTCACCGCGTAAATCCTGCGCCTCATGCGCTCTGCGGCTAATGAAGCCGCCTTTGCGCCCAAAGATATTGCGCCTTCGTCATGCAGGAGCCTATATAAGCAAATAAGTTCCAATCTTTCCAAGAACTAACCTTATCCCAGCCTTCCTGTTCAACACTACCGGTACTGTCTAATAAAAACACAATAGATCGTTTTTCCGCACTCTTCTGACAGTCGAGGCATATGACTCCCTAAACTTGCTCATCTTTGGTTTCGTGTGCATGATCATGAAAGGATCATTAGGGTGTGTGCATTCAGAGCAGCGTATTGAAACTTGCCCACAGGCATTTATTATTTTTGATTTGTGTGAGCTAGTAGCGTACGCGTACGCCTCCTAAGCACCGCATTTGTGCACTGTGTACTACTCAGCCGAACAGTCTGACCTATTTTGAACAGAAACACTACCCAAACTGCGACGTAGATGGCCCATTCGCGGCTGATCATTTCCAAATTAGACCTGCTATCGCATTCGTCAGTCACATGCATCGGTGCGTGCTACCGTACCACCCCTAGTGCTGAATCTGCGCGCCGAAGCATGCATTCGTCATATCGTAGCGGAGGCAGGTGCCGAGAAATTGCCTTTGAAGACGAAAATTAGCGGCGATTTGCTCAGTCAAACGCATTGACTTATCTTCACTTAGGTTGTCTAGAACAGTCTGCCGTCTTTGCATCTAATGTTAACATTGTACATGCAACGAAATAACTTTGCTACTCATCAATTCAAAATACCAAGCATGATACACAATAGCTCCATTTGTCAATTTCCGCTTTAAGTTTCTGAAAGGCCGATAACAGCGTGCGGAATTGCCATCCAAACCAAAAAATCGCAAAATATTAGCGTTTTATAAGTCAGTAGAGTTTCTATTTTTGCAGCCATTTTTCGATGAAGCGGTCGTTTTACGTTAAAGGCAGTGTCCGGGCAAAAAGTCGATTTTGAGATTTTGTGCTTACCCGGGCCTATTCACTATGCTGAAGTCGAAAACCCACATTGGAAAGCGCGAAAACGGCAAGAAAGGGCTCTAACGCAGGAGGGAAATCTCAAGTGGGCGGGGTCTTCCCCACTGTGAATTTCGCAGTCCCAGCTTCTGGAGCGATCTTCCCAATTCCTCTAGCGCGCTGAGATCTCCACCGGCCAGGTGCGAATGCATGACTTGAAATCGGAACCGAGAAGATCACTCTGGAAGCTGGGAGCGTAAATTCACAGTGGGGAGGACCCCGCCCACCTGCTGATTCCCTCCCGTGTTAGAGCCGTTTTTTGCCGTTTCCGCGCTCTCCAATGTGCATTTTCGGATTCAGCGTACCGAATAGGCCCGGGTAAGCAAAAAACCTTAAGATCGAGTTTTTGCCCGGACACTGCCTTTAAGGTATCTGTACCATTCGAAGAAGTCAATCCGCCAAAAATTGTCGATTTCGGCAACTGCACTTTTCGCATTTGGTCGGTATCCCGCAAAAGTTTACTGTCATTTGTAGGCGGAATGGATCTGGTATAATGACAAATTTGCATCATGCCAATATGCTTAGAACCGTTTGAACAAGGCCCTAATACTTGTTGTCTGTGACTGCTGCTACTTGAGTTTGCGCGTTGATTAGCGATAGAATGTTCTGATCATGCTATCGCACCTTGACCCATGAATGGCGTCTAGGTGGTGCAAATGTATGAATACAAGCTTCGGTTAGCGATTTGGAGCTTTTTCCAAAAAAAAAAAATTCACAAAATTCTTTTCTTTGTGCTAGACGCAAAACATCTACACATATGGTAAAAGACGCTAAATCTTTGTTCGTAGTGCCTCTTTTGACATAGAGTCGACGTTAGCACACAGCCGCTAAACCCATAAGCAGTTATTACTCAGCATTCATAGCGATTTTGGGTGAAGAATTCCTACGATTTCCGTAAAAGGATCGAAAGTTGCAGGTGCCAAAATGGCCAATTTCTGTTTGTCAAAAAACTTTGCTTTGAGGATTTATAGAGCAAAAGATACACGTCTTTTTTCAAAAACACACAAAAGCACTCCTAGTGAAAGATTTTTTCTTTTCATTGGTACAAGTACTTTAACGTAAACCGACCGCTTCATTGAAAAATGGCGACAAAAATAAAAACTCTAAGAATTTATGAAACAACCTAATACTTCAATTCTACGTGCTTGACAGCCAGTCTGTTTAGCTTAGAGTTGACAACATCTGTGTAACGAAGTTGATACTCCATTGGTGAGTTTTTTCTTGACATTACAAAGTTTTACAAGGTATCCTTTGATGTGAGAGTGAATTCGAAAAAAAGAAAGCCTCTAGCAGGGCCCGGTACAAGGACGGCAAATGCACACTTGTAATGCGCGAATTTACCTTTGCCTATTTCGAAATTACAGAGAGGACAAGAGTGATACGAAACTAAAATGCTATCACACGGTGAACTTTGGGAGTAGAACAATGAAAAATTATGTGGACTGAGAGTTTTTCCAATTTCGGGATGGTGTTAGGATGGTAATTAAGGTCAGGCGCGGTATGCGAACCAAGACCTATTTTGACCCTTTTCCACTTACCTCCCCCCCCCCCCCCCATCAGTCACTCTTTCCCTTCACTTTCCTCCACTGGCATTATAATGAATGCCAATGCTTGCAAGGAAAAGATAATCAAGGCCTTGGTCTTTGAAGTATGTTATACAGTGGTGGCCATTATAAAGTCACTTTAGAAATCGTCGTAATTCGTTCTTGTCAATGAATCTGTCTGAAACTTTTCTGTACTGTGCGCATGTTAAACTACTATGACCCCATAAAACGGTTTCCAGTCTTGTTGAGTTTGAACGGAGAAAAACGAAAAAATTTGAAAAACCCTTTAATGAAAGCTGGACAAAATTATAAAGCCACCTGGTTTTTCTAATCACTATCTTTTGTACAATTACATCTTAAAATATGAGACGTTTGCAACGCCTACGCCTGTCATCCTACTCAAATAGAAACAATCACTGCATTTTTTGCTTTTAAAAGCATAAAGAGTCGATTTGTTTCAACAAACAGCTGGTTTAGGGAGTTTTCAAGCTCTTATTTATTTCAGGTAGTCATAAAATCTACTGATCTTTTTGATAGATAAGGTGAAGAGCGCTCTCATAAACTTGGCGTAATCGCTGATATTGACGGATAAACTCCAACCTCACATAAGGTTGAGGCACTCTTGCACCGCGAAACTCGATTTTCAAGCAACAGAACATACTATAATGCAGCCATTACTGTAACAATTACGACAGCCCTACAACAGTGAAGTTGTGCGCAGGCTAGGAAAAAATTTCGGGATTGAGCACTCTGGTTCAGCCGCACTTGACATCCACTGAATGTTGAGCGCAGAGTTTATGGAAGCGTTCCTCACCTCATCTATCGAAAATGCTCAGTAGATTTTATTGCTATCATTTAAAATAAATAAGGGCTTAAAAACTTCCTAATCCAGCTGTTTGTTGAAACAGATTGACTTTTGATGCTTTTAAAAGCAAAAAATGCAGTGATTGGTTTTATTTGAGTAGGATGACAGGCCATAGGAGTTGCAAGCGTTTCATATATGGTTGTCCGGAAAATAATGTCACTTTTTGTTTTATCATGCAATATCGCAGCAGGGTGCGCACGAAAGTATGTGAATGGGGTATCAACATATAGATCAGAGCAAGCTCTACAAAATGAAGCTCAAACCTTTGCGCCAGGTTTGGTTTGCGTGAAGTTTGAAGCCAAAGTTCACAAGGCGCTCAAGATCCGAAAAAACGAAAAAAACCGTATCACCGTTCAGAAAAGTCCTGAGAACCCCTAACTTGCTCACGCATGGACTCACTGTACGAGACACTCGTACGCGCATTTTCGCCGTTTTTCCATGGCTGAAAATTGAGAAAACCAAATTTGGCATATTTCTGCCAAAGCAATCCTGAGCTTTCTCACATGGGTGATTCTGTAGCATGAACCTTTAGGAGTATAACCATGAATTTTCAGCTTTAGATAAGCGCTAGTTTTCGAGAAAATTCAAATTGTTTGCAAAAAACCCGAAAAACACGACATATTCGCACTTTTGACCTCTTTTTATTTTTTGTGCTGTAGCCATGCAAAAATAGCAAAAACTATACAGGTGAATGTTTACTGTGGAGAGTACATGCCTGTGCCAGTTGGAGATCCCTGAGACGTCTGTGAACGGAGATACGATATTTCGGGCGTCTGAAATTTTTTATATTTTGGATTCGCACTTCAGGTGGAGCAATATCTCCGCGAAGATTTGTGAACTAGCTTGTAGAGCTTGCTTTGATCTATCGAATGATACCCCATTCGATGTTTTTTTGTGGTTATTCTGTCCCGATAGGATGCCATGCAACATTATTTTCCGGACAACCTAATATTTTAAGATGTAATTGTACAAAAAAATTTGAGAGTCAACGGATGCGATAGTGATTAGAAAAACCAGGTGGCTTTGTAATTTTGTCCAGCTTTCATTAAGGGGTTTTTTCAAATTTTTTCGTTTTTCTCCGTTTTTTTTTTCTCCTTTGATTGCTCCACTCAACATTCAGTGGATGTCAAGTGCGGCTGAACCAGAGTGCTCAATCCCGAAATCTTTTCCTAGCCATGCGCACAAGTTCACTGTTGTAGGGCTGGCGTAATTGCTACAGTAATGGCTGCATTACAGTATGTTCTGCTGCTTGAAAATCGAGTTTCGCGGTGCAAAAGTGCGTCAACCTTATGTGAGGTTGGAGTTTGTCTGTCAATATTAGCGATTACGCCAAGTTTATGAAAGCGCTCTTCACCACATCTATCAAAAAGATCAGTAAACTTTATGACTACCTGAAATAAGCAAGAGCTTGAAAACTCTCTAAACCAGCTGTTTGTTGAAACAGATTGACTTTTGATGCTTTTAAAAGCAAAAAAATGCAGTGATTGTTTCTATTTGAGTTGTATGACAGGCGTAGGGTGTTGCAAACGTTTCATATTTCAAGGTGTAATTGTACAAAAAAATTTGAGAGTCAACGGATGCGATAGTGATTAGAAAAATCAGGTGGCTTTATATTCGTCCAGCTTTCATTAAGGGGTTTTTCAAATTTTTTCGTTTTTCTCCGTTTATACTCAACAAAACTGGAAACTTTAAGGGGTCATGGTAGTTTAACATGCGCACAGTACTGCAAAGTTTCAGACAGATTCATTGACAAGAACGAAAATTACGATGATTTCTAGAGTGGCTT